TTTCAAAGGGTAAACTGATTAAAAGATTTTTTATTTTTCATCCTTTATTCGTATTTCATGAATATATAAATTTTATTTAAATCGCACAAGTTTCCAATATGAAATGCATAAATATATCTACTTCATAACTTTTCAGAGATATTTCCGACTATATTATTTTATATATAATCAAGTAATGAAGCTGAAGAATTGTTCACGCTGCGATAAAAATAAGACTGCAATAAAACCATTTGTAAAATTCTATTTACGTATTAATATTAAAATCAAATTCAATCAAATTCGATCAGCAATATTGTGGCCGATTGCATCTGTATGTATTATATATGTATTATATAGCGTGAATATTTTCGCATCAATGACTACATTTATTAACCTACATAGGAAAAGTAAAAATACTTTTTTAGCGTAAAGATTTTTGAGTAAAATTTTAGAATGTGGCTGCATAACTATAAGTTGTAACTATTCATAGTTGGCAGTGGTGGCATGATTGCAAGAATGTGCAAAACCAACCAGCACAAGCACACAGATACCGCGAGCCTCAATATGGAGGAATTAACTCTCTGGTCTCCCTCTTCCTCCATCTCTTCCTCGCACCCCGCCGATCACCAACCGCTCGGCACAATTCCTCTCACTTGCACCGATTTGCAAACCCACACGCTTCTATGCGCGCACACAAGGCAACGTGGCATGTACCCTTGTACAACAACATACTCATCGCTTCCGCATTATTGGCTGCGTATAGTTTGTGTTAGACCAGAGCACCGCGAAGATACGCGGCGGTAAATTCGCGAGTGGAATGGGAAATTGAACTCTACAAATGGAATTGTTGGATGACCGTCGAAGATGCATAACCGTGTTCTCACGTGCATGCATGCATGCGCGTGCGTATGTGTAGCTGGAGACGCCAGTTTACCGAGACTGTCGAACTTTTTTGCCCAGTATGCAGCTTCTACGTCGGAAATATCGCTGACAAGTCTCCTCCTCCTCCTCCCCCCCCCTCCCTCCCTCCCTCCCTCCCTCCCCCCGCCTTCCCACCCCGCGCTCGACAATTTCAGGAGGCTCCAAGAGTATTCTTTACCCTCGCCACAATTTTCTCGGGGTTAAGATTCATTTTAAGATGCATCATTTAAAAACTCATTCCCAGCCAAAACTTTAATTATTATGCTATCGTGATTTTTTATTTCGCTCTTCGATCGCTGCGACTATTCCTTGCAATTTTATAGATTACGCGAAGATATAACGCTATCCCCTACTACTTGATGTTCATCAATCCGAGTATGTAAAACAATATCGAGGAATCTATATTTTTTTTAGAATGCCGATGTTCGCCGACTACAGAGATTAAATTTACGAATAATTTATCGGTTATGCTAATAATTATATAAGAAGACATTCATTGTGGCGTCTCGAGCTAGTTGGAACGGCCATCTCACTAAGCCAATTAAGATTAAGACTATTTTATTGTTTTTATTAAAATTTAGTCAATTGCTCTCCACCAACGAGGCTGGGAATTAACGATCGTAAGGAGTGAATTAATAGATCCTTATGCGAGTCGAGCTCGGATGTAGAATTATAATTTATATAAATATTTTTTACATTGCGTTGTCACTGAGCTCGTAATATTTTCGAGGACCTCGATGCCAGATATCGATAGATTACACGATAAGAAGATTTGAAAGAGTCGCGGCCTCTAATACTATCGAACGATATCAAGAAGCCAACATTGCCAAACGAGGAGAAAGTTTTGATAATACCGACAAACCTATCAGCCTTACTCGCTTGTTTGGGACGAAACAATAATAGTCTGGAAAATCACGAAATAAAACAATTTGTAAAAGCCATATACTCGAGCGGCAAGCATATCCGCAGCAATAAATTCGATCGTCTATGAATAGAATACAAATTTAAGTGTCAATGTTTGGGCAAAGGGACGGCGATAGTAAGCTTGACCGACTGCTTGGGGAAAGGCAGAAAAGGTACGTGATTGGATTTAATTTCGTGACAATTAATGTACCTTTCGTCGGGAGTTTTGTCGGGACAAGAAGACTCTCAAGACGTATATTATTCGAAGATAAAACAGGCTCGGGAATTGCGCATACTATTGGAGCCAGGAAATCCTTCAGGACCCTCCTCGAAACACAAATCGTTTTATCCTGGGAATACAACATCAATGCCACATTCAACATTGGGCTCGCTTAATGGGAATATCGCTCGGCTACCAACACTATTGGCACGCAGCTACGTATACATGACGATGATCAGCAGATCAAACTCAATAGGGAACATTTTAGCAGCAAAAGCAGATGCCATTTACGGTGCACAGTCGAAGACTACGTTCTGACGTCCGAATGCAGCCGCTCAATGGGCGACTTTTAATTCGACTAATTGGACGATCGTGGAGAGCGATGGACGGGTGACTTTTCGCGGTGTCGCGTCAATTGGATTTGCTCGTTTAGACCGGATTTCAAGGAACCGCTCGATTGGCCGACGCTAACGGCATCCGGCGAATCCATGCTGTACTCGCGCGTCAATACCACCCACGTAACGTCTTCACACTCGCTGGGACAGTCATTTGGTCTCGATAGGCAATCCTGCCAGAACCCGCGACGTGTATCCTCGCGTGATTCGTATCTATGTCCGGATATTGGTCAGGATCCGTCATTACCTCGGCTCACTCGGATACCGAATAACATCGGGCGGAAGGTTTCTTACGCGTAGTCGATGTAATTATTGCGCAAAACGATACCGACTCTCCCTTCACACGCGACAATTTGGAATCTCGAGTTGAGAAGGTTTGGGAATGGGCGCGGCGCGTTTTTCATCTGTGCATCAAGCAGTGCTCGAGCGAATATTCGACATTCGGAGCTGCAGAGTCACCGAGGCGGCAATCAAAATTTCTGATCGAATAGACAGCGCTCGGCCTAGCAAAAAATATATATCGCGTTTAAAGCAGCAAATTACATATCGATACGGCAATTCGTCCAAAGGACATCGCAAATGACAATGTAATCGCACTCTTGCACATTGCGATTCGTCAACATTAAATGAATTATCAACGTACGTAAGAATCTTGGAAAATCGGCAATGTAATTATTATTCATAATCGACCTCGGGCTTTGACATAAAATTTACCTTTTACGTCGGACAATTAATCGCGCCGACATTATTCATTTATCCGGCTTGCCTAACTCATCAAGAAATATGGAGGCATGATTGGGGCGAGAGGCATCACACAAATTATTCGTCACACAAATGGCTCAACGAAATTCCTTAGCAAGCTCTGTCACAAAAATGACGGATCGTGATTGTTATCGATAACGATCGATGACTGTTCAAAAATTCACGCAGTCCATTTAATGATGTCGTTTTGTCAAATTTTTCATCCAGCTTAAAAATAAAATTGAGATCGCTGCTCGTGAGAACGGAAGGCTAAAATAAAAGAAATAGATAAAGAAGGAATGAGACGTCGCGAACGAACCAAGCTCACGCTAAAATTCAGGAAGCTTGTAAACCCAAGTGGTAATTTGTATTATTTATACGGCCATTAGGCAGAAAGACTATGGAGAACAATGACGACATTGTCGAAGGGCTCGCCGAGAGTGATGTCAGTCGACATTACCGCGTGTCGTCTGGCTTATTTCCAAGTGTGTGACGCTTGTCTACCTTTTGGATCTCTCTCTCTCTCTCTCTCTCTCTCTCTCTCTCTCTCTCTCTCTCTATCTCTCTCTCTCTCTATCTATCTATCTATCTATCTATCTATCTCTAACTCTGTCTCTCACGACCCCACTCCCCCGCTAGCGACAAGAGTCAACACGCCCCTCTTACACGAGAGACTCAAACTCTCAAGCTTCCTTAATTTTTATATCACAGCGCTGAACTTTCGGGCCCATGACATTGCGATATAAGATGAGGAGAGGCGGAGCACAAAGAGGCGGTACATGAACGTCGCCGAACCAGTGCACCTACGTCTCCCCGACAATTCGCTAAAACAGCGGATAAAGGAAACGATGATGTTTACTCGTACGAGTCCTCCTTGTGCCATTTTCCATTACGACACGCTCGTAAAGCCATCGAGCGAGAGGTTAAAAAACAGACGGAACGAACTGCCAACCTCGGGCCAAGCGAGTGCGGAACCTCGCCTCAACGTCCCGAGGCGGAATCGAGCGTGTCTGGAACGGACGAGAGTGTGGAGCGATCCTCGGGGGTCGGCGATCTCTTCAACCGGGCCCTTCTTCTCAGTCCTCGTCACCATCGCCATCAATATACCTTTCACACGCAAGAGCTTGCAATTTTGACATGCGATTCCGAGGAAATTTACGGTCCAAGTTAGCTACGGATGAATATACATGGAAGGCCGAGCGCCCGCGGACCACAAGCCCACACTCGTGACTCGCCTCCCACTCCCACCAGTCACCGTCTCCTCCCAAGCCGCCTATTCCGTAACCTTCCGCCGCCCCCGTCACCGTTCCCCGGCCGCGGCCACAACCCCCCGCCGACCTCATGCTCCCGCTCGCATCCGACAGCCGATCGAGCCGAGCTACGTAGTCATCGAGCTTCCTCACACACGCGCGACCACACGCACGCACGCACGTACACACACGTGCACACTCGCGCGCGTGCCGCTCTCTCTCTCTCTCTCTCTCTCTCTCTCTCACTCTCTCGCTCTTCTTATCTCGATGTGGCACGATGCGCGACAACGGCGCAGGGCCTCCAGTGCGCGCGCGTGCTCGGTAACTCACTGTCACACACACGCACACGGCCGCATGCACGAACGCACAATGAGGGAGGGAGAGAGAGAGAGAGAGAGAGAGAGAGAGAGAGAGAGATACGCGCGCGGCGCAAACAAACATACAAACAAATAAACAAACAACAAACAAACACATACGTGCATACATAGTACGGGCGGCGGCGACGGCGGTTGCGGGGATTGGGGGAGGAGAGGGCAGCCGCAGGGAGTCCGTTCGGTCGGTATATCCGTTATCAGCGTTGGCGCTACTCACTTGCCGATGATCTCGCAGAGCTCGTAAACGTCGTCGAAGAGGACCTCGTCGTCCGCCATAGCGACGCAGCCGCTGGCCTCC